AATTTAAACTTAAATAGCCTCATGTGGCTAATGATGATACACTGGACTGAGTAGCTCTACACTACAGTTTTCTCACTTATAAAATACAGAAGTTAAATTAGAACACTAGTGTCACTAGGATAAGTTCCACAGCCAAATAAAATTGGTGCCGCATTCTGAGAAAAAGTAAATGAGTATTCAAGCAGATGCACCTGAGCATGACTAGGGCGGTTCTAGGTTTTTAACCTTTTCATTTCACTCTTTGTAGCTCCGTGATTAATTTAAGAGACCCACTCTGTCTTCTGATTAGTGATTTTTCAAATTGGTCTTTAGGTTGATATTTCCTGGGAGTCTGTAGTAAATATCTAATGCATCTAATTTAATAGAATTTCTGTGGAAAGGAACAAACATTTCATGTAAAATGCTCCTAGAGCTATGCTGTTCAGTGTAAACATGCACTGGATCAAACACTTAGTATGAATAAAAGAATGTAAAGTGACTCATTAATATATGTTGAAATGATAATATTTTGGATACACTGGGTTAAATAAAATATATTATGAAAATTACTTTCACCTGTTTCTTTTTACTTTAATTTATCTAATAGAAAAATCTTAAATTACACTTACAATTCGCATTAGACTCTATTAATAATGACAGCCCTGCTGTAGAGAAAGTTATGAAATAGATACCTTACAATATACATAATTTACTCAGTTAGTACATACTTATTCAACATCTATTACTGTAAAGCGTTATGCTAAGTGCTGAACAAAGGGAATGGTCCCTGCCATATAGAGTTTAAATTAGCTCCTACACTTCTAATGCACATTTCACATATATTATCACATTTGTGATAATGCATAAAGATAATTTAATTTTAGAATATTTTACCATTTGGGGGAGCAAATGCCAATATTTGACTTAGAAATTACAAAATATAAAGCATAAAGATTCACATTAATGGCTATTTTTGTGATACATGCTATATAATGTTTATCTGGAAGCCTAATACTATCACATTCCCAATAGCTTCTCCCGGTTTCTTGATCCCTCCCTCTAACTAGTCTGCTCCCTCTTTATGGCTCACCTCTCCCAGAAGGTCTCTTCAACTGGCAATCTGCCTGCTATTCACATTACAGCAGGGCTATTTATACTTACAGGGGTCTCCAAAGAAGGAAAGAGGTTGAAAATGTAAAGTGTACATAATTTTAGGCAGCCAACTCCAGTTTTTTGGACCCAAGACTGAGATTTGAAGTTTCTTTTGGGCTTAAACTTGGTGATTTCTGTAGGATTTTGCTTCATAATCCAATGCACAAACTTATTTGAGAGAGAAAACAACAACTCATTAGTTTTGTCCCACTAAGGCTTTCACATAAGAAAACTATTCCAAATAGGACTTCTAAAACAAATTAACTAGTAGTACTTCTCTAGCAAATGGTTTTTAAAATAAAATAACAGGTAACATCAATGGGTCAAGAATATCTATGTTTTGGGGCTCCTGGGAGGCTCAGTCGTTAACCGTCTGCCTTGGCTCAGGTCGTGATCCCAGGGTCCTGGGATCAAGTTTCCCCCACCCCCACCCTGCATCACGCTCCCTGCTCACCGGGAAGCCTACTTCTCCCTCTCCCACTCCCCCTGCTTGTGTTCCTGCTCTCGCTCTCTCTCTCCCTGTCAAATAAATAAATAAAATCTTAAAAAAAAAAAAGAATATATATGTTTTTAAGGCTAATGGCATTGCTGTCAAGAAACTGTTACCAATAAACTAAAAGTTCAGGTTTTATTGACAGCTACAAAGAAAGCAATACAAACAAAACTACTTTATCAAACAGTGGTAATATTTCCCACTTTAATAGAGAAAGTATTACTGACATATGATAGCTATTGAGAAACAAATGAAGTACCCAAGTTTCAAACACCCCAAATGATTTCACTGCCCTTTTTGGTTGAAGTCTACCACCATCTGAAATACAGATGTGGTTAGCAAAGGAACATTATCCTGTCTATAGCTGTGCAGGTGTGGTTATATACATAGTTGTTTCAATGTTATACATCTTCTACCAGCAAACAAAAAACTATTATGACAAAAAAAAAAAAAAAAGCTGAAGAAAATAATAATTACTCCTGATTGGGAAAAAAAAAATTGCCTAAGGAAAATTTAGCTATTCTCCATAAGTAATCAGATTAGCATTTTGCTGAAAAGGAGTCAAACCAAAACCTTTAAGCTAAAGTACTTCATATATGATCATGGGTCCTTTCAAACTACTAGTGCTAACTTGCCAAATATAATGCAATCAAATATAAGTTTACAAATTCAACTTTTCTTTGGTCTTCAACCCAAAATGGTTTATTTTTCATATAGGCCTCAAACAAAAGAGCATAAAGCTTAGTGCAAAACCAGTCTGCATTTGACAATTGATTGTCACTTGTTAGTAGCATCAGGAAAACAAATAATTCCCTAAAATTTCCTTTATAACCTGAAGAGAGAATATAAGGAGACCATTCAGATGTAAATGTAAAATTTATCCCCAGCTTACTCTGTGCCCAGCACTGGACTAGGGACTTTAACATGTTATCACAAATATTTGTCCTCCCTCTTCCCCCCTTGATAAATTTAGAAAGCTACACTTTTCAATCCTCAGTGCCCTTCAGATTAAAAAAGCAAAGCAAAACTGGGAGGGTGGGAGATGATTACAAACCAAAGAATTTCTGTGATAAACCTAAATTAAGTGTTTAAGATAAAATCAGAACCTGCCATAATATATAAAGATTCCTTCAAATGCTAAAAACGTTTGCTTCAAATTATCTGTATTTAATTCCATCTAATAACCCCATGAGAACAAATAGTATCTTTCAATCTGATCCCATTAAAGATAGGTGGCCCCAAGTGTCTTACATTCACAACTGCAAAAATATAACTTTATGACTTTCCCTACTTCAAATTTATGAAACGCATTTATTTTCCACCAACATGCTGAGCTATCTTTAAGAACAGGTATTAATCCTAGTATCTTTCATACATTAGGTAGGAAAAAAATATGGTTTCATTTAGTCAAGTAAAAAGGCACCCCAAATTCTACAAATCACCAGGAAAATTTTAAAAAGAAATTTCAACACTGGTTAGATAGTAAAATGGACTGTTCTTCATATAAATTAACGATCAATTGAGGCCTTCCCCAAATGAAACAATATTTTAAGGAGCTACTCTCTGGAGACTTGGGTTGTGTTTCAACTCCTAAAAGGCGCTGCAGTTTTAAAAAGTTAATCTTACAGGAATCCTCCTGGAAGTCAACAATATTGAAAAAAATACGTTAACATTAGTTGCCAAGTATAATTTTTTTCCCCTCTGAAAGACACCTTGTGGTGACAATAAAATAGTTTCCATGGAGGCATGAAATTTAAACTTGGTATACTGTATAAATAAAAAATAATATTAAACAAAGAAAAAGGGCTTTTTGTTGTTGTTGTTGCATAATTTGATTAAGTCCTAGGACTTAATTCCAAATCTTTACCATGGAATTCCAAATAGCAGGGAAAGAACATTTGAAAATAAGAGTTAACAATAGATCATCGCCATTTTCTACACAGAGAGAAGTATTTACATTTTAATTCAGTTCAGTTGGGTGTTAAGGAAGCATAAAAAGGCAAATACGGTAATAGAGTGAATTATAAACAGACGTGGGAAGCTGCCTATTAAGACGGTTAATGGCAAAACTGAAAACGAAAATAAGGCATACCGTCATACTTCGTATAACCAAGAATCAAGGAATGTAGGTTAAAATAATAAAAAATGAGTAAGACAGCCATGTTCTTACAAAAAGAAAAAAAAAGTGGAACGGAAAGAAAAGATCACAAACATTTTAAGGCAACCATGGGGAAAGATTGCTTTATGCCTCCACTGTTTACTAACATTTAAAACTAGCATTTCTAGTCAACACCTGGGTTTGAAAATAGCAGCAGCACGGAAACATTGTCTTTTCAACGTAAACCCAACAGAACATTCTGCAACGTTTTGAATGGTAAACATTAACCAGGATAAAGCACCGTTCGCGTATTTCCACCTTTAAGGACCAATGGGAAAAATTAAGACCTTTCTTTCTCCCATATATAGCCTTAGCCCCTCTCTCCCCTCTTTTATTTATTGCTCTTGTCGCGGGGCTAATGAACGCTAAACTTCTTTTTCTTCTTCCCATTAATGGAAATGGGGGGAAAGAGCAACGAGAGAGGGAAACCCAGCTGACAGGGAAAACTGGAAATTAAAAATCGTGGCGTTTCTTGCCGGGTGAAGGCTAGGAACACCCTGAAGGTTTTAGCAAGAGAGAGACAATCCTGGATAGACCCCTATTAACGTATACTTTAACCCCAAGGCAACACCGTGTTTCGTCTGTTTAATTTCTGCTTTTGAAGGGGATGGCAGTTCTCCCGGATGAATCTTCCCGGGTGCATGCCACCCCTTCCCTAGGGCCCCCTGCAGCAGGGGTTGGGGGCTCTCGCCCCAGCTCTGAATTCGCAGCGAGGCCCGGAAATCGGTCCCGTTACAGCCGATTTCACCCATCAGGAATGCGCTCCACCCCCGCTGCCTCCCCGCGGCGGCCGCCCTCGGTGTCGGCAGCTTCAGCCGCCCGGGAAGTGCTGCAAGGGAGCGCCGCCTCGGCCCGTCACAACACTGCTGGGTTGGCCGCCGACTCCACAGACTGCCCGGGCCGGGAGGGCAGAGCTCGGGGCGGATCCCACGCTCCGCCTCAGTCTGCGCGGCCCAGGGGGCGCCAGCGCCGGGTGCGGGCGGTGGACGCGGACCCAGCCCTAGGCCTGACCCCCAGGACCGGCCCCAGGACCGGCCCCGGCCCCTGCTCCGGGGCCCAGCCCGAGAGGGGGCGCCTTTCCCGTGGGATTTCTGAATCCATTTCCGTTCCGGGAAGGGGCGCGAGGGCAGCTGCCGTGCCGGAGCGCCTCGAGTCGGAAACGGGAGCCGCCCCTGTCCTCCCGCACCCAGGCGCAACCTCTTCCAGTGCCGCCCGTACCTTCAATTCCTCAGAGCGGCGGCGGGTGCCGGAGTGCGGGTGAGGAGGCCCATCTCTCGGCGGCGGCGGCGGCAGAAGCCGAAGGAAGTACGGAGGAGGGCTCCTCAGACCCGCCGAGACGCCTCTCAGCTGGGGCGGGGGGAACGCAGAAGAGGGGTCCCGACTGCCGCTTTCCCGAACTCCTCCTCCGCAGTTCTGTCTTGACGGCTGTTCCCGGGAACCAGCGCCCCAACTGCCATTCTCCCCCTGCTTCAGCCCCCGCTGTCTCCGCCTCCTCCTCCCACTCCTTCCTCCCGCCCCCGGCCACCCCGCCCCGCCCCGGCGCGCCGCCCGCGTGCCGTGCGTCATGGCGTCACGCCCACCGGGCCCGCCGCGGGCGGCTCTGGGATGCTCTCGTTCGCTCGCGCACGTTCGGCCCGGCTCGTCGTGGCGCGGCCCGGCCCGTCGTGGCGCGTTGCGCCTGCGACCGGGTGGTTTAGAGGGCAGCGTCCCGTTCGTCCCCTACGCGGGCAAGTCAGCTGCCCTTTATGCCCCTCGGCAAGAAGCACTTCGCCCCGAGCGGGCGGGGCTGTGGAGCAGGTGTCGCCTCCGCGGATGGTTGGGGTGGCTGGAGCTGCTCCCGACGCGGTGGTAGATGCTGGACTTGAGGACCCTGGCTTTTGGCATTCCGCACGCCATTTATTATTCGTTTTTTTGTGTTCTCACCGTTCACCTGTTAGGTTGGCAGCCCCCAGGGAGAGCAAGGCCGGGATGTTGCTGCGAGTTTCTGCTCCTTTCCGCGTGGAAATGTCTTCCGCAAGAGTGGCGGCGCTCCCACCTCTTCGTTCTTACAGTTTGAAGAGACCTCATTCTTCCTCAGGGGCTGCTAGCCCCAGCACTTAGCCACGATTTAATACCCTATGTGAGGGTGCAGAGAATATCTGCCACTCGCCTCTTCCTCTCCCCCACATCTCTTATTTTCAAAATCGCTTAAGTATTCAGAATTCGTACTTCAGTACTTACGGATACATTGAGTTACATTAATCCAGCTTTATCTGTTCCATCCCCTCTTATCCTTTAAGCCAGTCATACATCTCCTTTGAATTTTTTAACCTGCGTATGGTTTAGTATCAGTTCTTTTTAGTTGAATAAACATTCCATACAGACCTGGTCCATTCCTTCATAGTTGATTTCAAGATTCAGAGTCACTTTTCCTTGGAATACTGAGAAACGGAATGTGATGGATGCTGGACAGAATGTCCATTCGCCATCTGTTACTTAACTAAATATATCACCCTATCAATCCTTGTTTTAGTGTGTCTAATTTAAATTAGAAACAAACCAAGGAGCCATGGTCTTTCAGACAGTACTTGGTATCTTTGGTAACCCAGTAAATGTTTACCAATTAGAAAACTAAACAAGCTAAGCAGTTTAGGTCCAAGTATTTTTTTTTTTTTTTACCACAAATCTTAAAGGAAGTCATGATGGGTATGTTTATTTTCATTTATTGGAAGTTTTAAAGCTGTTATATATTCCTTTAAATACTACTTGAAGGCTGCCTACAATTTAATCAATGGAATACTTTGTACAAGTAGTACAAGAATAGTATAAGTTAAATGGATTTATGGAACAGTACTCATACATAATATAATCCTTAAGAATATATCAACATGTTGAACATTTCAGAACAGATGGGGCATTGGCTTGGAAGGAGGTTTTGAGGAAAGAGGCTGTGCAAAGTGGAAACGGTCTTGTACTCTGTACAATTGTCATCTTTTCCAAGGATACCTTTTCCCGCTTCCTGAAAACTAGAGGGATTTCCTACTCTTCACTAAGGCAACATCTATTAAAAACAACAACAAATATATATTGAACATCTCCACTTGAATCCCCACGGGTACCTCAAACTCAGCCTGTCCAAGACAAAACTTCTCTTTTCCTCAAAACTTGTGTCTCTCATTCACCCCGGCCCAACCCAGAAATCTAGGATTCTTCCCAAGCACCCCCGGTTCAGTCACTTCCAATTCATAATTAACCTTAAGTTCTGTTAAATATCCCTGTACTCTCTCTTCTGTATCCCCCTTCTGCCTTTAGGGCAGTAATTTCCACTTTGCACATCAGAATACCCTGAGGGGCTTTAAAAAAAAGTCCTGTTGCCCAGACTGCCTCCACCAGTTAAGTCAGAGTCTCTGAGATGGCGCTCAGGCATGAGGATTAAAACAAAACAAAACAAAACAAAACAAAACCTCTCCAGGTGATTCCAGTGCATAGCCATGGTTGAAAACCACTGCTAGGGCCTCATCATTTCTCACCAGATTACAGCAAAAGCATAATATAATAGTATTCTCCTTTTTTCCCTACTCTCTTCTAATTCATTCAGAATCAATTCAGTAAATATTAATTGAGTGGTGTGTGTGTGTGTGTGTGTGTGTGTGTGTGTGTAGGGGGAGAGTTTCCCAGAAACTGGGAATACAGCAATAAAAAAGACAGCCCTTGTATCCGGTCTCATAGAGCTTACAGTCTAGGGGAGTGGGGTGGCACAGTTGGGAAAGACAGAAAAAACAACAAAGAAATAAAGGAAAGGAAATAAATTTACCTGTGTGACATATAGAAACCAGGGAGGCTGTTACCTTAGTTTAGCGTCTCAAGCTAAAGTCTACTCCTCTGACATTTGCGCTGGGTTCTTCAAGACAAGAAGGAGGCAAACAAGTTAAGGGGTGGGGAAGGTAGATGGAACAGCAGGTGCAAAGGTCCTTGCAAGACAAATTTGCCAAGTTCAAGGTAGCTAGAGGCTGAAGCATAGTGAGTAAGAGGGAGTATACCACATGGGATTAGAGAGGTATGAGGAAGCCAGTTTATTTAAGACATTTTGAGATCATGATAAGGAGAATTCTAAATGGCTGGTGTGATGTGCAGTCAGACACAACAGATTTTTAAGTGGAATGACACCTGATTTACCTCTGGAAAGGATCACTCTGGTTGCTCTGGGGATCAGACTGTGGCAGAGCAAGAGTGGAAGCAGGGAGATCAGTTATGAGGCTACTTCAAGAATCCAGGAAAGAAATCATAGTTCTTTGGACTAAGGTGGAGACAGGAGAGGATGGTTTTGGTATTTGTTTTAGAGGCAGAATTGGTAAGACTTGCTTGAATGGAGTGAAAGCAGGGAATGAGAGAAAGAGAACAACGCAGCTACTCTTTATTGAATACATGTTACCTGACAGGCACTGTTCTAAGTGCTTTATAAGTATTAAGCCATTTAATTATCATAAGAGTCCCAAAAGATAGGTACTATTTTTTTAAAAAGATTATTTATTTATTTATTTATTTATTTATTTGAGAGAGCGCGCGCGCACAAGCAGGGGGAGTGAAGTTGGGTTGTTCTCAGGACTAAACGAGTAAAAGCAGATACAGCTCTTAAGCCTGGCATGTAGTAAACCTACTAAAATAAATACTAGGTGCTTTTACTACATAAAGGGAAGCTGGCTAGAGTGGGAGTTAATCCAGCTAGGATTTTAAAAATGGGGTCATCTGCATCGCTGCTCGGGTAGTTCTCTTAATTATTAGGACCATATAGGGAATCTGGAGAGGAAAGGACTTTTCTCTTCCAAACTGAGAAACCTAGGCCCCTCAATGGAAAAATCCTTCAGGTGGCTGAAAGCTGAGTTGCTCAGATCCACCTCTTCTCCCTGCTCCATCTCTCACTCACCACCTTCCACAGGGAAACGGCACCATATCCTCCCCAAAGCCAGCCCAAGGTACTCTTTCTTGTGGGAAGACTAGACTCCCCAAAGGGCTGATAATCAGCTTTTAGGGTGGTATTTGTCAAAGTCCAGGCTTGAACCGCCATTGCCAGAATCACCTGGAGCACCTGTTAAAATAGACTCCTGGGTTCCATCTCAGACTTACAGAATCATCATCTGTGAGGTTGGGGTCCTGGAATCTAGTTTTTAACAAACTCTCCGGGTAATTCATATTACACATTTAAGAACTACAGCTTAAGAGCTTCAGCCATTATGATAATATCCCAACTTCAAGCAGTTTTCTTCCACAGGATCTCTCATTGGGCTCTTTAGGAAGGAGGGTATCTCATTCCTTTTCATGAGACCCATCCAGTTACCTACAGTCTGATTCTTTCTCCCTCCCACCCATTATCAGAATCTTTCTTGGTGGACACTGGATCCTCAGACCACTGTTACCCATTGCTTATTCCAGTCTTTCTTAATTACATTTCCTATTTGTTTGATTCATGAGTTAGCCTACCCTGAGTTGGTCACCTGGGCTAGAAATCCCCAGAGCCCCCTAAAACTAGAGCTGATTAGACTTACTGCGTGTGGGACAGGGTGAGTTTGGCTGACTAGGTCCACAGTGGTGGGCTGCACTGGAAGCAGGATGTCAGTGGGTGATGAGCAAGGACTTAAAATGACCATATGTCCCCGTTTGTTCAGAAAAATCCTGGCTTATACCTGTTGTGGGGGCTTAATTATTGATGGTACCCCTTTCACTCTCAAAGAGTCCTGGGTTAGACACATTATATCATCAGCCTGGTAATGAGCCTCACATCAAAACCAACAGTTGCTACCCTTTAGCTCTTGGCTTGTGTCTAGCCCACCCTCTTCCTACCTTCCCAGTCTCCAGTCCCATGCCATGACTCTTTCCTCTCAGATTTCCTTAATGAATTTACTTTGGTGTAATACTTTGGACTTACATTAAGGGATTTATAAGAAAGCACCATGAAAATTGTTGCTATATTTACTCTGACTATATCTGGAAAATGTTTTCCTTTGATTTTAGCACCTGGAATAGTTATGTTTCCCTTTTCCCTTGTTTATTAACCCCATTTGTTTTGTCTTCTGGATACCTAATTGTGGAACTGACAGTATTTCTCTTGGCTATGAGGAAGTTTAGAGCTGTATTATGTGGCCTCCTTCTGGCCTGTGTGTAAGACTGAACAGGATGCACTTTACCTACTTAAGAGTGACTGTTTCCATTTCTTCACTAACTTCAGATTTAATTTCTCCGGTGCTATGTTGTATGTATCCGTAAGTCATCTTTTATCCTTTTTGAAACAAGGCAGGTATAAAAAAATGTGCATGAACACATGCCCACAAACAAACTGGTACTGATTGCTAGTTATATAACTGGAAGGGATTATTTAAAAATGTACACAATGAATAATTTCCTCACTTCAAAATATAGTATTAACAAAATGAATAGCATTTTAAGTAATGCTGGATTTAGCATTCTTCAACTACCTCATTATTTAGAAAGTGAAAAGATTCAAACAAAAGGAAATGAACAAAA